TTCTTCAACTAGACCCGTTATTGTAGCTATTGTTTATTTCCAGATATGCAAGATTTATTTTTTGGTTCTGCAAACATAGTTGTAGCTATTGTTCCAAAAAAATAAACGGATTTGGATTCTTTGTCAAGATCAGTCTGTTTAATTTTTTTTACTTTATTTTTAGTTTTTTGCTACTATTATTTATTGATAAATTCAAAACACTTGAGTTCACTTAGAAAATAGTCAAATCAATTGTTGAATTGTTTTTTTTTAAAAAAATTAATTTAACTCTTCAATCTCTTTCAATGCCCCCAACATAATTTCTCTTTCAATACATCTCATTTAGTCATAAAGCTTTCTAGGTTACTAGCCAAATTTCTCCAAACTTGTTTTTTCTTTTGATTGCTAGAGAGAGATGATCGAAAGGCTTTAGCACAAGAAAAGAAAACATAAAAACTATGATGGCTTATCGTAATAAAAGTATGTTATTCTAAAGTGTTAACATCTTGAAAACATGTGATTCCAAGTCAAGACGTAAAGGCATACAAAAGGTGTGGCTAATTCTCATGCTTTATGCAATTATAATGTTTAAGCTACATACTAATAGGGATTGTACTCTCAACTATGTTTTGAGTATAAAGCCAAAAAAGAAAAAAAAAATGTTGGTAATGCATTTCCCATATTTCTTCTGGACATAGCCAAACAGTAACAATGTATTTCCCAGGTCGCATCTAAATACTACCCAAACAGTGACAATCCATTTGCAGGTAATGTATTATGCAGTAGGGGCCGTTTGAATACCTGAAAATATATTGTCCGTGAAATATATTACGGGCATAATACATTACTACGTAATACATTACCTGCAAATGGATTGTCACTGTTTCGATAGTATCTAGATGCAACTTGGAAAATACATTGCTACTGTTTGGCTATGTCTGGAAGAAATATAAAAAAATGCATTACCATCCAAATATGAAAAATATGGCTATGTTTGGCTAACATGATTAAACTTTGGTTTTAACATGATATGTCATTGGAATATTATGATTGGAATAACATAATTCTATTGTGATAAGCCTTATTGTTATTTATTTTT